TTCAGCATTCTTAGCCCTCTTGATCCACAATTATATATCCAGAACAACTCAGATTAGTGGCTTTATTATGATGCATAAAATTGGAGGTTTTAAGATCCATCCTTCATGCATTAAAATATATTGGTGATCTATATATATCCAAGAGCACACATATTAACAGTCTACATAAAACTGTATGTCTGTGAAATTGTGACAGGATGAGATATCCCCTCATTCTTCTAAACTTGTCTGCAAACCATTCCAGTCCATGTACCTCTAGTGGTTTCATCTTTAGCAGCTAAGGATATAAAACAAAGACCTCATCAAATGCTGCAAATTTTTAAATCTTTCATAACCAAAAAAACTAACGGGATTTCAAATGATAGGTAGGTCATTTTCAGTCAGGTTTTACATACTACATCTTTACAGATACACAAAACACGTCATGCTCAGGATATCGAAATGTTTTCTGCAATAACACCAAGACATTTAACGGCATGAAATTTTGTAAATTAGTCATTGAAGCACATTATTATTCAAATCCAGTATAAAGGATTCACAGTGCAGAAAGTAACTTCATTTGCATATCAGTGCTGGCAAGATCAGTTTTCAAGTCTGAGGAAATATTATTTTTCACTGCATGGCTACAGATCTTCAGAGAATCCTAGCATTCATTTTAATCTAAAAGTGATAATATATACTCTGCTGGAGGTTTATGATACTCCGTTCTATTTGATAACTAAATATAAGTGCCAAACATTATTCAGGAAAAAGGCTTTGACACTGGTGAAATAGTTAGGCAGTAGATTAATACTGCCGTGTTATCCTGAAAATACAACCTACCCCGAAAGTAAGTCCTGGCTTGATTTTTATACATGCGCCCAATATAAGCCCTACCCCCCCCCCCAAAAAATAAACCCAAATTAAGACCCCACCCACTCCACGGTGCACTGGTAAAAATTAAACTATGTGGGGGGCAGAGCTGACAGTTGCAGCCTGGCCTCGCACACCCCGACACCTGCCTTGTCGGTGCACTTCTTCTGCAGGTGGCAAGGCTGGGAATGCTTTCCTAAAGGCCGCTGCAGCCGATAACAAAGCTCTGGATCGATCCAGAGCTCTGTTATTGGCTACAGAGGCCTTCCCAGCCTTTCCGACCACAGAAAAAGTTCCTGAAGACCTCTGGCAGCGAAAAGGAGCCAGGGACGAAGCATGCAAGTGAGGTGAGTCTGTGGATAACATCCCCCCCCCCAAATAAGACCTGGTGCCTTTTTTGTGGCAAAAAAATAAAATAAGACAGGGTCTTATTTTCGGGGAAACACGGGTATAAGGCAAATAGATTTTTCTGGTGAGTGAACTGTATAGCTGCCAGAAGACTTCTGTGTCTCTGGAATCAGCTTCTTCATTGACCTCAGTCATTCAGCTGACTTTAGGGCAGAGGAATGAGCTGTGTTTCTATCTCTGACAATAAATATACTAGGCTAATAAGCACCTAGTGTCCTAATGATACCCCACACAGATACCCAGTTCCATCATTTGATTTCTACAATTCTTTATTATCTTAAAAGGGTCAGTCTTGTTGCAATTATTTTTGCTGGAATATAAACAACCATCCAAGTTCATTCAATCATTTGAGAAAAACATGTTTTGATAGCACACATCTGTAAAAATGTAACAGCTGTTTCAAAGATTGCAACCAACCAGTAAGATTGTATTATGACTGCCATCTAGCTTTTCTGCCTTTAAGCTAGTATGCAAACTATTTTATGCAACATAGAGGTTGCCCAACTTCACACAACTCTGGACAGCTTTCAATAAAGATATACACATCTAAAAGGAAACAATATATAACAAACAAACAAAAAAAGTCACCCATTGTACTCCAAGGCCTGGGAAAATAACCAGGTCTTCAGTGATTTTATGAACATCATCAGGGTGGGAAACTTACAGATCCCTGTGGGGATGTTATTCCAGATGGCAGGCACTGCACCAGGGAAGATGCAGTTCCAAAGCCGTGATAAACACCATTATTTGATCAAAAAGACAGTCTTTCTGGTTTTACAGGCCAGGAAGAAGCTATCAAGAGGTAGTTGTTCCTTCCAATAGCTAGGCCTTACATCGTAAGGACTTTATAGGTGATCACCTGTACTTTGAATTGAATCTGAAAGCCTACTGTTGTCATGTGGGCATACTGCTGCATGGCCATTACTTCCTTTGCTACTACATTCTAGGCCAGCTATAACTCCTGGGTGGTCTTCAAGGTCAGCCCAATGTAGAACACACTGCAAGAGTCCAATTGTGACATCACTAAGACATGAGTGACCCATCTGAATGGCTTTCTAACCTAGGAAGAGATGCAATTGGCAGACCAGGTTCAAAAATCCTCTTTGCCATAGTTGCCACCTGCTCTTCAAATAGGGGCTGTGAATCCAAGGAGACCACGAGGTTACACAGCAGTCTCAAATGAGATAGTGCTATCGTATTAGATATTAGACATGGAAAGTCCACAGGACAGGGAAGAGCCAAATATCCACAACCTCTTGGTCTTGTCAGGATTGTCCAAGTCTGTCCCTATCCACCCAGACCTACACATCTTCCAGATACTGGGACAAGACTTTCAAGCCCAGGTCAATATATCAATGACAATGATTCCAAACTGATTTCAGGTATGATTCAATTTTTTTCAGTGGTATGATTCAAATTTTTTTTTACTACTGGTTTTGTGGGCGTGGCTTGGTGGGAGTGGCAGGGGAAGGATACTGTAAAATCTCCAGTCAGAAGTGGCCGGTTTTCCAAACTACTCAAAATTTCCACTACTGGTTCTCTAGAACTGGTCAGAACCTGCTGAATACCACCTCTGGATTGTTTGCTTTATTTACAATTTGATTGGATTGTTGTATGCCATCCAGAATCACTTTCCGTGAGATGGGCTACTATATACATTTAATAAATATACCAGCAGGTGATCTTTTACAGTGGTTTCATGTAGATATTAATCTAAAAGGGCAAGGGTATTAAACCCTGCATCACCCCATTAAGGAGCCACAGATCTCTTCCCCATCAACACTGACTGGAATCAACCACCGTATAAAAACTAACACAGCATTTCCATTAATTCTAAGTGCCTGTAGTTCATCCAGAAAGCTATTGTAATTAATATTATCAAAAGCCCCCTTGAGAGATCAAGGTAGTTTTTCTCCAGTTACACTGCTCTAGCTCATTTTATTTTATTTTAATTATATTTTGAGTTTCAAGAGTGTTTCTATTTATTTGGCCTTACTCATGCTTCACGATGTTTGGATCTACTTCCTGTTTGTTCACCCTAAAATTATGCCCCAGTTTTCAATGCAAATAATGGCTGATGTTGTTTAGAATTTGCAATCAGGGTAGAAGCTTTGTTTATAGCAAAGGACATTCAGATTTCACACATTTTCACAATATGTGCCTGAAACAGGAAGCACTCGTGCAGATTACTATAAACGTTTAAAGTGTTGTAGTCTTACAGTGGAAGCTCAAAAAGACCCTGACAGGCAGATAATTATGACTGATTGCTGATTCAGAAACCTGTTTATTTAGCCACGATTATTAATTTATGATTAACTGCTTCATTCAAAGTTCAACTTTGATTACAAATACCGTGTTTCTCCAACAATACGGCCTCCACCAATAGGAAGGCCCAGCATGATTTCTAGGCATGAGGTGAAATTAAGCCCCGCCCCCAAAATTTAGGCCTATTTAAACCATGCGTTTCCCCGCCATTTCTCACATCGTTCATTAGAACTACATGAGGTGAAGAGAAATGGGGGGGATGGGGAGAAAACTTGCCTTTAGGAGTGCCCTGCAGGTAGACTAGGCTAGAATACCCCGATCTACCGATAGAACATCAGCTGGTAGAAGCTCCCCAAAGGCAGAGTCCCCAGCTGCTTTAGGGCGTGGTGTAGCTGCCCATGTCCCCTCGCCTTTAGGCAGTCTCTTTCGGGCGATGGAAGCTTCCCAAATACAGTCAACAGCCACTTCGATCGGCCAGTAGAAGCAGCCTCGGGGCGAGCGCACACACACACTCCCCTCGCCGCGAGGCCGCTTCTATCGGCAGATGAAAGCTCCCTTGAAGGCAGAGTCCCCAGCCGCTTCAGGGGGAGGCGTGGCTGCCCATGTCCCCTCGCCTTTAGGCAGTCTCTTTCGGGTGATGGAAGCTCCCCAAGTGCAGTCACCAGCCACTTCGATCGGCCGGTAGAAGCGGCCTCGGGGCAAGCTCACACACACACTCCCCTCGCCACGAGGCCGATTTAAGCACTCCGCTAAATTACAGAGTAGGAGGAACAAAGGGATATGTCAAGAGAAAAATTAGAGGTGTTTTTTATATTGGTAGGAATTGATAATATTTCAGTGCACTGTTGTAATGTTACAAAGAAATTGTATCACATGAGACAAGTAGAGGTTGCTCAAGTCACTTGGCAGAATATAAACAGCAATATATATTCAAACAAAACAGAAAAAGCATGCCAGAAGAGTCCAAAGTCCTTTTTGGTAGTTTACTAGACTACCCTATTTATTTCTTCAAGGTGGTGTGCATTATCAACACAGTGATCACGTTTTCTTGGGAAAAAAAAACAACTAAAAGCCAAACCTGAAAAAAGACAAAATCTGAGAGAGGTCCATAAGGATTAAAAAAAATGTTTATGTTTGTAACTGCAATACAAAGGAAAATTGAAGAACAAAACCAATATAAAAATACTGTACATATTCTAATAAAAATATCTAAAATTAAATAGTGTGTAACATTTAAAGGACTGTCCTTTATAATAAAGCACATATGGTCACTGTAATTACCAGGGAATAAAGCTTTCCTGAAAAAAGAGTAAAGAAATAGGATAACGGCACTCTAATAATTCTAGCACTTTAGGGGGGGAAAAATGTAATTCTCACTTCCTTTCTTTTTGCCCGCAACCAAGATGGCCGAAATAGGGTCATTTCCACCACTTCCCTTATTTCCATCTTCAGAAATAGACCATTTCCCCCCGTTTCCTAAATACCTTAAGGAGGCATTATTGCACACGTTTTAGTCGTTCTACATTTTAAAGCAGCATCTCGACCTTCTACCCACCCCTCCCACGACTGTTTGCTTTTTTTTTCTTGGCTCGGCTTGGGAATTTGTAAGAGGAAATGTGGGGGGTGGGGTTTCATACAACGCTTATTGATACGCCTTACGAGCGAAAGAACCAGAACTAGCAAAAAATAACCTCTCTGGTGTCGTTGTCCGTCCCCCACCCCGCGACCCCGGTTTCTGTCTCGTTCTCACGTGCTTGCGGACTTGGGGCGCTTCCGGTAAACCAGACTTCCTTAGAAGCGGAAGCAGCGCCTGGCTTTGAAACTGGTTGATGTGTCCCCGTTTGTGCTGCGAATTCGCTTCGAGGCTCTGGGGAGAAAGCGTGGTAGGGCTTCCCTAGTAGATGTTGGGTTAATGCCTTGACCCGTGGGGGGTGGAGTGAGGGAGGACTTTTGCACAAACTTCCCCGTATTAAGCCACTTCGGCTTCCTATTTACTAAGTCTGCATTACTATTACTATTACTTTCCATCTTCTCATCCTTCCTTCTAACCATCTCCTCCCACTTATGACTGCATGAATGTAACTTTGTTGCTTGTATCCTTATGATTTTTTTAATTGACTGTTTACTAGTATGATTTGATTTGATCGCTTATTATTATGTTTCCTGGTATGATTTGATTGCTTATTTGTACCCTTTGACTACTATTAAGTGTTATACCTTCGATTCTTGACGAATGTATTTTTTCCTTTTTCTTTTTATGAACATTGAGAGCATTTGCACCAAAACAAAACAAATTCCTTGTGTGTCCAATCACACTTGGCCAATAAAGAATTCTATTCTATTCTATTCTATTCTATTCTATTCTATTCTATTCTATTCTATTCTATTCCTATTCCTATTCCTATTCCTATTCCTATTCCTATTCCATTCTATTCTTAAATGGCCTCCATCCTTTTCGTCCTGCAATTATTACCCATCCCAAGAACCTCTTAAAAAAGAAAAGAAAAGCAATTCGGATTAGGAATAGTGAAAATTGCAGGGATGGGGAAACCCTGGCGAAAATTAGCCCTGCTCGAGACTTAACAGGCTGCTCTGAACTAATTGTAGTTTCTTTGCTCAGCTGTAGTGGAAGAGAGGCTGCTCTAATCTTAGATTGCTCCCTGAGAGACATATAATTCATATGATTTTAGATTGCCAGGTGTGGGAATATGAAGTTCCTTTGCCTGTGTAACCTCAATATGCTAGGACTGTGTGTTTTTTTCAACATTTTTTCACTCTGGAGCCCTTCCAGCTTTTAAAAATTAAGGAGGATCCAAATAGTGTGGGTTATGTTTATCAATACAGGTAGTCCTTGACTTTACAACAATTCATTTACTGGCCGAAGTTATAACTGTATTGAAAGAAGTGACTTATGACCCTTGTACACACTTATGGCCATTGCTGCTTGTTCCAAAATTTATTCAGGTAGTCCTTGACTTACAACAGTTCATTTAGTGACCATTTGAAGTTACAGTGGCCCTTGAAAAAAAGGGATTAATCACTATTTTTCATACTTAAAGACCACTGCACCATCCCCATGGTCACATGAATAAAATTCAGATGCTTGGCAGCTGTCACATATTTATTACAACTTCAGTGTCCTAGAGTCATGTGATTCCCTTTTGTGACCTTCTGATAAGCAAAATCAATGGTGAAACCAGATTCACTTAACAACCATATTACTAATTTAACAACTGCAAAATCATAAAATGGGGCAAAACTTACTTAATGACATAAATTTTGGCCTCAGTTGTGGTTGTAAGTTGAAGACTACCTGCACTTATGTTAAAATTTAAAATGAAGTTTTCATTGCTCTTACAGTTTCTCATGATTAATGGGATTTTAATATAGGTAGTGCTCAATGTGTTATTACAATTAAGCCCCAAAATTTTGTTGCTACACAAGACAGTTATTAAGTGAGTCATTCCCCATTTTACTTTTCCCCCACAGTTGTTAAGTGAATCGCGGTTGTTAAATTAGTAATACGGTTGTTAAGTGAATCTGGTTTCACCATTGATTTTGCTCGTCAGAAGGTCACAAAAGGGGATTTATTTGTTAGATGTTTATATTTTTGTTTGCATTGTTTTTCTGGAGTCTGATTCTCTGAACTAAGTCTATTTGTAAGCTGTCCCTAATCACCATGAGTTGGGCAGCCATATAAATTTTCTTAATAATGAAAACAGTGGTGGCCCACAGTACACAGTACACATTATTCTAATGGGAGTAATCTATTCTGTTTTGGTTAGGCCTTTCCTGTGGCTTTCTTGATGTGCCATGTTTTAGTGAACATAATCAGGAAATGGGTGACAAAGTAGGTAATGAGATACCAGATATGTGTACATGGAAAGCTTTAAGGAACTGGATATGCTTAGCCTGAAAAATCATGAGAAGCAATATGATAGCCAAACACATGATGGATTGATTGCAAATGAAATTTGAAACAAATCTATTCCTTATTCCTGCTTGAGAATTATCACAGCCTTTCAGGGTTGAACTGCAACTAATATCATGCTTCATTATTGGCCACAAAGTCTAATGCTGAAGGGAATTCATGTTACTCAGCTGTTCTACATCTTAGGGTCTAATTATCCAACTCAAATTACAAGATTGGGATTTCTGCTAATTTACAGCGCCACTTTGATGTGGTGCAGAGGTCTCCAAACTTGGCAATTTTAAGACTTGTGGACTTCAACTCCCAGAATTCTCCAACCAGCTATGCTGGCTAGAGAATTCTGGGAGTTGAAGTCCACAAATCTTAAAGTTGCCAAGTTTGGGGACCCCTGATGTAGTGGTTAAGGCATCAGGTTAAAAAGTGAGAGACCATGGGTTCCCATCTGATCTTGGGACACTCCGTCTATCTTAGTCCTAGGAAAAAGATAGTGGCAAATCACTTCTGGAAAACCCTGCAGGTATTTATGCAGGCAGGAGTCAACATTAACTCGAAAACACACAAAAAAAAATTGTTAACTTCTGAAATTTTACAGAGAGATGCTGTAATAATTATCACATTTGGGAAACTGTAATAATCCTTTACATAGTAATAGCAATAACACTTATACCGCTCTATGGTGCTTTACAGGACTCTGGCTGAGGAACTCTGGAAGTTGAAGTCCACAAGTCTTCAAGTTGCAAGGTTGGAGAGCCCTGGTTTACAGCATTCTCTGAGCAATTTATAGAGTCAGCCAATTGCCGCCAACAATCTAGGTACTCATTTTACTGACCTCAGAAGGGTGGAAGGCTGAGTCAACCTCGAACCCCATCAAGACTGAACTTCTGACTGTGGGTATAGTTTGCCTGCAATATTACATTCTAACCACTATGTCACCACATTGGGAATACAATTACTAATATGTGATTCTGGAGGAATTATCTTGCTAGCCCCAAAACAGCCTTGGATTAAATGACAAGCAAAATAAGCACTTGCTTAGGTCACCAAGGCAAGGGAGTAATACAGAATGTTTTCCCCTAGCTGTCATGCCCCTTATTTTTTGACTGCTGTTTGACTTTAATCAATATTTTTTTGGTAATTGTCCTTATCTGTCATGTTCAACTTTAATCTGTAATGTTAAAAACATTGGCATGGTAAGTGACTAAATTTCATTGGAAGGTGTTGTCTGATATCACATTTGTTTCATGGCACTAGAGTTTTCTTTCATCCGAGGACACCATTTTGGGCTTCAATTTAGGACATCAATTGGCCTTAATCTGGCTTTGCCTAAATAATATTTATTAGCTTATTCATGCATTCATTCAAACATTTAGGCGCTTATTAAAACTACGAGGAGCTTCCAAGAATTGGATTATGTTTATCTTAACATCTTTATCTTTAGCAGCGGAAAGAATAATGGCAACAAAATTGTCAATTTTTAAAACGCTAAATGAGACTCCATCTTAGTTATAAACCCAGGCCTGAGGCACATAATGAACTGAAAATTTGAATTTTGTTAGCTTGATGGAGTCCTCTTGCTCCATTTCTTAAATTTAGAAGGAAGTTCAACAGAGTATGCATTTTTTATGACCAGACCAAATTAGATTCTGAGAAATGAATGGGTCAATGATATTGCCTGCCCTGTTTCCTGAATGTAATTTTCTGAAATAATAACTATTTTGACTGCAAATTGGTAAGAACCCTTAAGCTTAACCCTTTCTCCTTGAGCTACTTTTTCTATCAAAATTGCTTTGGGGAGATATTATTTTTCATGGACAAACTCATGTATCTGCTTCTCATTTCTAGGCTTAATGCCAATTAGAGCAGATTCAAGTCTAGTACAGTGGATCTCATTGTAGTTCACATCTGTAGAATGGTTTAATGGAGGTGGTCAGGCTGTGTAATAATATGTGGGAATGACCTTGAGAGAAGAGGAAGAGCCACAGACTAGGCAATTGTCAGATAAGAGGCAGCTGAACCCACAGAAGGAAGGATGTGTGTGTGTATGTGTGTGTCAAATGTCTCAGAAAGGACCCTCTCTAATTTCTTGAGCTGTAAAGCTGAGGGAGGAGAAATGTACAGTTCAGTTAATGCCACCTTACAATAAAGAGAGAGTTAGTAGTTCTGGATGAAAAAGATCAATATTCCCATGCCTGTTATCACCATTTGTACTGATCTAGGCTTCAGTGTATGTGTGAACAAGAATGTATAGTATGAGGGGTTGTCTCATGAATGCCAAGAAGAGGCTTTGGCTGAATTAACCCTTCATGGTCTCTAGGCAATGTGGTTTGTATTGTCTTTGATATAGAGCAATTTATGAGTCATGGTTTATAGCTTAATTTGATAACAGCAATCAGACCTCCATTGGACGGTTAAAACAAACTATTTTTTAAAGCAGACCATGGTTTTATTTTATGATTTTGTCTTTGAATGCCTATTTTAAAAAGCCTCCAATTACTTTAATTATCTTTTTTCCTTGGGGAAAGTGGTTGTAAATTATATGGAAGTCAGATACATAGGGTTTATGATTAGTAAAGCTTGATTGAAGACTGTCATAAGAAAACAGAACTTTTCTTTCTAATATGAGTGATTCCTGCTTATAACATGTTCGCAGCTATTAGCAGTGATGAAGGTTTTAGAACTGATGTGGAGGCATTATTGTCTTCATTTAATGTATTTTTATTACTTGTTTCTTTTATTTCACTATGGAACACAGGATATTGTTTGGGGGGGGAAAATCTAGCTCTATCTCCTCATACCTTCATATGTAGCCAAACTAATGAGCTGCTGTTATTAAACTGTGAGTTGG